CAGAATAGAACATGAGATTTATGTGGGATGGACCATAATAGAACATGAGATTTATGTGGGATGGACCAGAATAGAACATGAGATTTATGTGGGATGGACCAGAATAGAACCTGATATTTATGTGGGATGGACCAGAATAGAACATGAGATTTATGTGGGATGGACAGAATAGAACATGAGATTTATATAAGATGGACCAGAATAGAACATGAGATTTATGTAAGATGGACCAGAATAGAACATGAGATTTATGTGGGATGGACAGAATAGAACATGAGATTTATGTGGGATGGGCCAGAATAAAACATGAGATTTATGTGGCATGGGCCAGAATAGAACATGAGATTTATGTACATGTGGACCAAGAAAGAAAATAAGATTTATGTCTAGATTAACCAGAATTAAATCTTTGAAAAGTGAATAAGATTAAGACTGGAACGTGATCTATGAAGGAAGGGAGGCAACCTGTTATTTTAATCACGTATAATCACGTATATTATTTTTTGGATATATATTACACATATTCGATTTCGTCTAGAATCACGTGTTTATATGGCTTATCATTTATAACATCCATAGGATGTATATAAATTCATAGCACGTATGTTATGTTTATCAAGTGTTTCATAAATCTTATGTACGTTATATATATATATATATATACTATGTATATCATGTATACTATGTATATAATACTTATCTTGTATATCATGTGTCTTATGTTTATTATTAATAGACGCTTATCTAAACAAATTATATCCGTATCATTATGTATATCATACAAAACATAAATCAAGTACACTCTGTGCAATAGGCAAGTATGAAAGTGGGGGGGTGGGGGTGATATGTACATATGTACATATGTACATATGTACATGACACCAACAGATTGAATCCCCGAGCACAGGTTTGTGTTTGGGTTAGCCCAGCGGTTAATTAATTACCAAGACTCTCGCTTCGTCAGGGACATCTGGTTGCCATAGCAACAGGCAATTGTGAATATTAGACTGGCTCCGGTGCGGGGGGTGGGAGCGTAGGTCAGTTTGTCTGTCTGTCCATCTCGTGGTACCTAGACGGGCCCAGGGTACAAATCTATTTCTCTAGTGCCGGGCTGTAACCGAGGGCTCCTGTTTTGATGGAACTAATCTTTCAGGTAAAAACAAACATCTCCATGGGCGATAGAAAAAAAAAAAACCTCTTTATTTTAGATCAGGACATTACGTCCCACCCCACCCCACCCCCACCCTACCCCTCCATCTCCGGGGGGATTATAGGTAAACTCAAAACCTAATCCTAAAATTAAACCTAACCCCAATCGTAAGGTGCATTGTTTTGGGTTAGAGTTAGCTTTAGGGTTAGGGTTAGGCTAGAATGAGCTATAAGGTTAGGTATAGCGGGAGGGCTAGGGGTAGAGTGGGGCTATGGCTAGGGCTAGATATAGGGCCTGATTATGTTTAGGGTCGGTTTGAACTTATTATACAATAAACCTGTACCTGTGTTTGATATTTTATAGAATACCTTGCCAAAGTAGGTAATCAGATTTTATTTGCTTACTTTGTCGGTCCATCTCAGGAAATCTATAGACTGATTGGTTCCTTACTTGGACAGTAACATGTGTCTCGGTTATTTTTAGAGTGGGGTGGGGGTGGGGAGGGTGTAACTACCAGAGGGACAATCGACATTGGGTCATTGATCTTGGTGTAATAGAAGGGGGGGGGCGAGGAAATGAACGGTGTTGTTGACATGGCATAATGTGATTGGCCATTTCAAGTGTTGTCCTGTCCACGTCTTACACCAGTTCCTATCATACAAGCCACTAAACAGCACCCACCACTAAACAGCACCTACCACTAAACAGCACCTACCACTAAACAGCACCTACCACTAAACAGCACCCACCACTAAACAGCACCTACCACTAAACAGCACCTACCACTAAACAGCACCTACCACTAAACAGCACCCACCACTAAACAGCACCCACCACTAAACAGCACCTACCACTAAACAGCACCTACCACTAAACAGCACCCACCACTAAACAGCACCTACCACTAAACAGCACCTACCACTAAACAGCACCTACCACTAAACAGCACCCACCACTAAACAGCACCCACCACTAAACAGCACCTACCACTAAACAGCACCTACCGCTAGACAGCACCCACCACTAAACAGCACCCACCACTAAACAGCACCCACCACTAAACAGCACCTACCACTAAACAGCACCTACCACTAAACAGCACCCACCACTAAACAGCACCTACCATTAAGGAGCCCCTAAAAACCCACGTCTTATGAACAACTTACTTGACGTCACTTTAAAAAACAAATTTGCTTCCATTCAGCTTTATTTACACTTTTATCAGCCCGTCTGTGTGCTGCTATTATATGTTGAAACGGCTAATTTAACCGGTTAAAATCTCCGACTCTGTGGCTTCAGTTAAAACGTTGGTTGAAAAAAAATTGAAAAAAAAAAGTCGAAGATTAGGTTCGATAATGCAAGACGCAAGACTAAAACAAAATCGAAAGTTGAAGTTTTTGCATCAAATCGATTATTTTTAGAGACAAGTTCAACCACGTTCATTGAACATACACAAAGTAATGTGAATGACGACTACGTCAGTAGACAAGGAAGGACTTGAATATCTCGGGATAAAAAGCTAAGTCATCGGGGAAAATACTATTTTTGAAAACTAAGTTTTTTTTTCTAGGAAAAAATGTCTTAGAAAATATTTTTTTTAACGCAGAACAAAATTACAAATATTTTAAAGTAAATATTGAGTTTACATGCTGAGAATTTAATATCTGACATATAAGTAAATAGATTTATGTCTTCTTTGTATTTCTAATATATCCGCATACAACTGTATTTAAATAAACTTGTGGTCTACATTATGTGGTGGGCCTTGTGGGCCTAGGGGTCTACATTATGTTGTGGGCCTTGTGGTCTAAATTATGTGGTGGGCCTTGTGGTCTACATTACGTGGTGGGCCTTGTGGTCTACATTATGTGGTGGGCCTTGTGGGCCTAGGGGTCTATATTCTTTGGTGGGCCTTGTGGTCTACATTATGTGGTGGGCCTTGTGGTCTACATTATGTGGTGGGCCTTGTGGTCTAAATTATGTGGTGGGCCTTGTGGTCTACATTACGTGGTGGGCCTTGTGGTCTACATTATGTGGTGGGCCTTGTGGGCCTAGGGGTCTATATTCTTTGGTGGGCCTTGTGGTCTACATTATTTGGTGGGCCTTGTGGTCTGTCTACATTATGTGATGGGCCTTGTTGTCTACATTATGTGATGGGCCTTGTCATCCATCTGAGTACCACGTGATGTGGACAGCTATCGACCAGAGTTTCTTCCAGGCATCTCTCCGGGGAGGGGGGGGGGCGCCTTCACCCCCCCCCCCCCCCGAACGAAATGGAATTTTTGTAGAAAATATATACTTTTAACAGTGTCCGCCCACTCCCCCCCCCCCCCCCAAAAAAATTTTTTTTAGTCCACCCCTCGATAATTTCGAGTGCCCCCCCCCCCCCCGGATAAAAAAGTCTGGAGGAAACACTGCTATCGAAAATATACCATTTGAGTCGACCATTCATCTGTATAAAGTAACGTGACTGTATGACATCCCTGAGTCCACCCAGCTCTGATGGGTACCTGACTCACGTTAGGGAAAACAATGGCGGTTGTGCTGACCACATATGCTTTCATAGGCCGAGGTTATTGAAACAGATGAACTCTACTTCATCTGCCACATGTGTCTTGAGCACGAACGTGATAAGTTTACCATAGTAATCTTTCCCTGCTGGTATAAGCATGGATGTATGTGAGGGTATATGAGGCAAGCATGGAAAGTATAAAAGTAGGCTTATTTATATGAGGCAAGCGTGGAAAGTATAAAAGTAGGCTTATGTGAGGCAAGCATGGAAAATATAAAAGTAGGCTTATATTAGGCAAGCATGGCAAGTATAAAAGTAGGCTTATATGAGGCAAGCATGGAAAGTATATAAGTAGAGCTATATGAGGCAAGCATGGAAAGTATAAAAGTAGGCCTATATGAGGCAAGCATGGAAAGTATAAAAGTAAGCTTATATGAGGCAAGCATGGAAAGTATAATTGTAGGCTTATATGAGACAAGCATGGAAAGTATAAAAGTAGGCTTATATGAGACAAGCATGGAAAGTATAATTGTAGGCTTATATGAGACAAGCATGGAAAGTATAAAAGTAGGCTTATATGAGGCAAGCATGGCAAGTATAAAAGCAGGCCTGTATCATCGCCCTTCTGTACACTGAGAATACACCGAACATGCTGTCCCCTGAAACTCAAGGGCCACAACCTAAGAGAAAAAACATCTAACGGTTATTCCTTCCATTGAAACACGCGCGCACCCTCTTAATCGCCCTGAGATCGAGGCTATCAACAGCACGGGGGAATCAGCGGGGCATTTAGCCTGACGTCGCTTTCTGCCGAGCCGCACAGACCCGCCGGAGCGGCGCCGTGTTTAAGCACTAGGAGAAGTAAGCAGAGAGAGGTGTATTGCTCCGCCCCAAGCGCCGCCCCTTCAATTGGTTCCTTAAGTCAAGCGACGTTAAGTAGATGGGAGAGTGCCGCGCAGTGTTGTTCTAATGATGCGGGTACATCAAGGTGAATCCGGGTCTACGTTGTATTGCAGTATCATAAAGCACTAAAGTAGATTAGGTTTTTTTTCTAACAAATTAACCTTGTAAATAATAACTTAAAAATAAATCCGATTTTTTTTTTAGCGTTCGCGTTCTGACCATTATTTAGGTCTAGGCCTACCTGTTCTGTTACACTTGAAATTCTCACCCACCTAGACCATTCCCACCTTAGCGCAAACGGTGACGGTTGGGAAAAAAAAACCCACTAGGCCCGAGCCCGCATCACCGACCGGCCAGACGCACGTCTAGCCCTCGCCGTCCGCACGTCACCGTGTGTTGCCGTAGTCCCAACCAGCACAACAAAACCAAGTCCGACCACTCGCTGTTTACTAGTTGAGTCTGAGAGTACGCGAGGCTACGATCTTTGTTTCAAGGGAAAGAAGCCAGTGTGACCGAGCTGGTTTACCACTGTTGTTGTTTATTTCTGCGACAATGCTGGCACTGCCCCAAGGGCTGCCACTGGAATTCTGAGTGCCAGACTGGACGTCCCGGGACGCTGGGTAGCGTTCAATGTCCTCAGGAGTTATTCAAGCATGCCTGGGATTAATGTGCACGAGTCATCACCGTTTCTTCTTGTGTTCCTGCTTGGCTATTGTCTCGCTGTTATAGAAGGTAGGACATCCAATAGTTCCAGGCTCTCAAGTCACGTGACTATCTTTCTATACATTACATCTTTAATCTGCGTATCATTTCTTTAGCTCTTTATACCTTTCTCTCTCTAACTTGAGATTAAAATCAAGTCACCATCAGTAGTTTAGCATCGATCATCCCTTATGTTATTGTTGTCGCCTATATCACCATTCCCCCCCCCCTACTTGACCACGTCCGTTGTATCACACTACCTTGTAGAACACCAAGTTTTTAACCTCCCATTCTAACCCTAACGTATTACCGTGATTAACCCGACACTAGATCTACAGCTCATGTGATGCCGTTAGTCGGCAAATCCGTGCGGATACCACAGGGTTAGCTTTTGTTAGGATTAGGACTAGTATTGCACAGTCATTTTTTTTATATGTATTATATGTGACTGCAACAATTTGTGCAAGTAGATCAATAGTTAGATGAATAGCCAGAATGGGAATCAAAACAAATGTGACGATGTGTATTAGTATTAGACCAGTGCGGTAACTAGAAATCAGTGCTTGAAGCTATCGCTATGGGCAACAGAAACTATATGGGCAGCAGAAACTATACGGGCAATAGAAACGTTATGGGCAACAGAAACTATATGGGCAACAGAAACTATATGGGCAACAGAAACGATCTATTGCCAACCCTAGAATGAACTACTTGAGACATCACTCTACGACCGACATCAAATGGACATTCTTTCTTTCACGCATCAAAGCGGTAATTTTCATTATCAATGGTGCTTCGTTATCCGCTGGGTCTATATGAACGGGAGAATATGTTGTACACGCTATATGGTTAGTTTACACACCATTTCGTTGGTTTACACACCATTTCGTTGGTTTACACACCATTTCGTTAGTTTACACACCATTTCGTTTACACACTATTTGATTAATTTCTGCTAAAGGTTGTAATAACCAGTGTGTAAAGTACACATAGAAACACAGACGTGTTAGATGATACGCTTCCTTGTGTGACAGACAATGTGACGAGAACCAGAAAGGTGACGTCAGACAGGCAGTGTATGCTGGCATCAATGTCAGTGACATTTGTCTGATGGTAGTCAAACTACCACTGGCAGATCGTTGGTTGTTGTGTAATAATAGGTGACCCGTGGAGAGACGAGATTAATGGCATCTTCACGATATTACAATAATGCCAGTACTTGCTGGTGATAGACTGACAACACATGCACTAGCTTCACATTGGCTGACAATACTATTAGAACTACTAGCTAGTAATAGACAATAACACTAGAACTACTAGCTAGTGATAGACTGACAACACATGCACTAGCTTCACATTGGCTGATCATAACATTAGAACTACTAGCTAGTGATAGACAATAACACTAGAACTACTAGCTAGTAATAGACAATAACACTAGAACTACTAGCTAGTGATAGACTGACAACACATGCACTAGCTTCACATTGGCTGACAATAACATTAGAACTACTAGCTAGTGATAGACAATAACACTAGAACTACTAGCTAGTGATAGACAATAACACTAGAACTACTAGCTAGTGATAAACTATAACGCTAGAACTAAAAGCTAGTGATAGACAATAACATTAAAACTACTAGCTAGTGATAGACAATAATACCAGTTCTAGTTAGTGATATACTGACTCTCTAGTTTGTCATCAGTATAGTAGTACACGTGCCACATACACCATCCACACAATTGACAAGGAACATGGAGATAGTATTTATCCATGTCGAATATATTTATGTTTCGGCACTTTATTCCTTATTTAACGTGTGCATGTTGCTACAGTGGGTTTTTGAAGGGGTGGGCTATAGGCCTACTTATGATACGTGAATAGATGTCATTTTAAAATACAACATTTAAGGTCTGTTAAAATAACACCAAACTATTACCAGTCAGACTCGTGTATATTGGTGTCGTCTTGTTGTATCATTGCTTACAGAACCAGCTTTAGAGAGGGGTTTAGGGTTAGGGCTTTAGAGAGGGGTTTAGGGTTACGGCTTTAGAAAGGGGTTTAGGGCTAGGGCTTTAGAGAGGGGTTTAGGGTTAAGAGGTAAGGCTTTAGAGAGGGGTTTAGGGTTAGGGCTTTAGAGAGGGGTTTAGGGCTTTATATAGGGGTTTAGGGTTAGGGCTTTAGAGAGGGGTTTAGGGTTAGGGCTTTATAGAGGGGGTTAGGGTTTTAGAGAGTGGTTTAATGTTATGTTTAGATTTATCGTGTAGCAATATATGACCTCACCAAACCTCTCTCGACTCTTCTATAGTAAGTGACCCACCCCTCACTCTCCTATTATGACTGACCCACCCCTCACTCTCCTATTATGACTGACCCACCCCCTCACTCTCCTATAATGAGTGACCCACAGCCTCTGGTAATATTGACCTGCCATCCGGCTGACTGCCGGCCGTACACAAACACGTTCCCACGCCGTATCACAACTGCCGGCTGTATTGTGTGTTCAAACTGCCGGCTGTATTGTGTGTTCAATATTGACCCGTCTATTCTAACAACCATTTGGTAAAACAAATTTTTAAAAAATAGTATGTAAAATATTTTGTTGAAATGACGCCTAGATAAAAAAAATACAAGATGGTATTTTTGGCAAGTGAAACTAAAAGAATTATTATAACTACAATATTTGAACACGCCGACTTTCCTTATTTTGCTAAATTTTCTTATTTAGTTCAATAATAATAATAATATTTTAATAATAAAAATGAGGATTAGCTATTTAAAGCATGCCAGTAATTATTATGCATTAGGTACAATTATTTTCCCAATAAACTAATCGAAGTATTAGATAACTCATTAATAAAATCAACACTTCACTGTCAGAAATACCCCTCCCCCCTACCCACTTCCTCCTTTCATTGCCGCTTCCTGGTGATGAGAGATCAAGATTCAACCTCCGCCCCCCCCTCCCCTCCACCGGGCCGTCATCGTGTATTACGAACCCTGGGAATGAGAGAAAATATTTGGACTGACAACAGAGACGCGCGCCACATTGTCAGTCGGGGTCAAGCTTAGGTCAAAACATTGGTCTCAGGTCTTTTCATTGTCATTGGTCTCAGGTCTTTTTATTGTCATTGGCGTCAGGTCTTTTCATTGTCATTGGTCTCAGGTCTTTTCATTGTCATTGGTCTCAGGTCTTTTCATTGTCATTGGTCTCAGGTCTTTTCATTGTCATTGGTCTCAGGTCTTTTCATTGTCATTGGTCTCAGGTCTTTTCATTGTCATTGGTCTCAGGTCTTTTCATTGTCATAGGTCTCAGGTCTTTTCATTGTCATTGGTCTCAGGTCTTTTCATTGTCATTGGTCTCAGGTCTTTTCATTGTCATTGATTTCAGGTCTTTTCATTGTCATATGTCTCAGGTCTTTTCATTGTCATTGGTCTCAGGTCTTTTCATTGTCATTGGTCTCAGGTCTTTTCATTGTCATAGGTCTCAGGTCTTTTCATTGTCATTGGTCTCAGGTCATTTCATTTCATTGTCATTGGTCCCATGTCTTTTCATTGTCATTTGCCGCGGGTTAAAAACAGCAGTCAGTGTTTTTCTTTTTTTTTCTTTTTTTTTTTACATATTCCGATTAGACAATATTGTTCTAAGCTTGCGACAGTGTCAGGTCCAATGTTATAGATGGGGGTGGGGGTATGATTGTTTAAAAACATCAGTAGGTTATTTAAAACAGTAATCAGGGTTTATTTATATTCACAAAAGACAACATTGTTCTAAACTTGCGACAGTATCCAGTCCAAGGTTATAGATGGGGAGCTGGGGTTTGATTTTTAAAAACATCAGTAGGCTGTTTAAAATAGCAATCAGGGTTTTTTTTATATTCACAAAAGACAATATTGTTCTAAACTTGCGACAGTATCCAGTCCAAGGTTATTTTTCTCATTATTTTCAAGACGGTACTTTTTTTTTAAGGCTGGCGTATAAAAACATTATTTTCAAATGTCATTATCACATCACGAACTATTGCAACCTTTTTTTTTCTGCCTCTGACATTTCATTCATCCCTCCCCCCACCCCGCTACATCACCCACCCCTTCCCCTTATTCTCACCTCCCTACCCCGGGGCTGCGTCCGGCGCTATAAATATGCAAGCTCTGGGGTCCCAGGGTCAGAGGCAGGTTGTATAATTTACTGCTCACTCTTTGCTTCTGCCTGTCCTGCTCTTTGACCGATCCGCTTGTTTAATTGATACAATTCAGCGAGTAGCGATTGTTCTAGAGCGAGCTGGGAACCCGGGGTTAAAGCCTGGGGGTGGGGGAGGGTGGATGTTGTACGGTTGTAGTAACAAGACGGCCGCCACATGCTCGGCATTATTCATATCAGGGGAGACCAGGCTGGGTGCACATCAAAGACAAGCCGAAATGTTTTAATGCTTTGTTGTTCTCTGAATGGAAGACGCGTTTTTGTTTGTATCTATGACATATGCAGGGGGGCGGTGGGGTGAAGAGATAGAAGAAATACTTTTCTGGTTTTATTTGGGGTGTTAAGTTAGGATTTCGGGTCACTGTTGTGTCACATGACTGGACGGTTGGTCACTGTTGTGTTAAGTGACTGGACGGTTGGTCACTGTTGTGTCACATGACTGGACGGGTGGTCACTGTTGTGTTACATGACTGGACGGTTAGTCACTGTTGTGTTACATGACTGGACGGGTGGTCACTGTTGTGTTACATGACTGGACGGGTGGTCACTGTTGTGTTACATGACTGGACGGGTGGTCACTGTTGTGTTACATGACTGGACGGTTAGTCACTGTTGTGTTACATGACTGGACGGGTGGTCACTGTTGTGTTACATGACTGGACGGTTAGTCACTGTTGTGTTACATGACTGGACGGTTAGTCACTGTTGTGTTACATGACTGGACGGGTGGTCACTGTTGTGTTACATGACTGGACGGTTAGTCACTGTTGTGTTACATGACTGGACGGTTAGTCACTGTTGTGTTACATGACTGGACGGGTGGTCAC